TCATTAACGATAGCCAAATGGCGGCCGCTTAAGGTCGAAAATGCATTGAAATCGCACATTTTCACCATTCCGGACCCGGATCTCAGTTATGCATGGACGGATTTTGTTCAAATTTGGTACATACATTAAACATAATAGGACCTTGATGCACATCATTTTTTTTTTCGGATCATGTTCGAAATGGCCAACTGGCGGCCATTTTGTTTTAAAGAATTCAGTTCTGGATCCGTATCCGAGACATGTCTGGATTGATCAAGTTCAAACTTCACACACACATGGTACATCATGTCACAAATAGATATGTGCATTTGTTTCATCATCCGCTTAACAATAGCTGAATGATGGCCATTTTAAGGTCGAAAATGCATTAAAATCACGTATTTTCACAATTCCGGAACCGGATCTCAGTCATGCATGGATGGATTTTGTTCAGATTTAGTGCATATATTAAACATAATATAAGCTTGATGCATACCAATTTTTCTTCGGATCAAGTTCAGAATGGCCAACTGGCCGCCATTTTGTTTTAAAGAATTTAGTTTTCAATCCATATCTCGGACATGCCTGGACAGATCAAGTTCAAACTTCACATACACATCGTACATTATATCATACATATGCCTGTGCATTTGGGCCAGTCCTTTTAAGGTCAAAAATTCACAAAAATTGCACATTTTCACCATACCGGAACTGAATCTATGTCATGCGTGGGCAAATTTAGTTTAATTTTTTTTTTTGGATTGTGTTGAAAATGGCTGACTGACTCAAATATGAACGGAACGGGGACGTGTCATTGACAATGACTTGTTGTAAATATTACTGACTGCGAAAGAAGCCCATAGGGAAGTTGCCTGTATCGTTTATAAAATATATAAGTTAAAGACAGAAACTTCAATAATCAATCAATAAAATGGGTAGCTGAAATGTCATCTGAAACTAATGCAATTCGTTCAAATCGCACAGTTTTGTTAAAGTGCAAATTTGAGAAGCTATGCATAATTGTTCTGAGAGAGCTTGTATTTGACTTGAGTTGAAAAATTTGAAGATCTGATTGGAAGTGCGTGTAAAGCATGTGACCATAATGGCAATCGACATTAAAAAAATGGTGCAATGTCAAATTGCCAAAGAGGGCACACTTTAATACACACTCACTGAACAGAATCTACTTAGGTAAAAGTAGTCACGGTGTGACGGACCTTGGCTGGCATGATGATGCTAATGTGTTAATATCCGAGTGACCCACATGAATGTGTTTCTTGAAGTTACATCAACACATTGCAACTGTAGGACTGTCATCAATGACTGCATTTCTCTAACGGTGATACCTGCATTCCCCGAGTATTAGCAAAACCACTACATACAATATTATAATTATCTCTTATTTTTCAGCTATACCAACTGTGTCATGATATCACAGTCTATCAGCTGGGAGCGGCCATCGCTAAGTCTGATAACTATAACATATGCAAAATACTGACAAACACTGATCAACACACTCCCATTGTCTTCATTCGACCTGCAAGCTATCATAGTGATGATGCCTTCAGCTCTTCCAAAGGTAATCCACAAATTTATCCTAAATTTATTTATCATTTCCTGAAAAAAACAATGGACTTTAGCAACCTTCAAACTTCTGACCCAAAATTTTGATTGGTACATCCCTTACAGGTTTTTATTGAGATTCATATAACATAAATTATGTGCACTTTATATTAGGAATCTGCTTCTAATAGAGCAAATACAGTATTTTTCTATCTCATTGGTGAATGCAGTTTGAGATGATACCTTGGTCCTAATAATTGTTGTATAAATTCTGGGATTTTATCAAATTTTTCAGGTCATTGTTTATTCGACCCTGTGTTGGAAATGATGCATTATGGAAAACAGACCGGCATGGAGGGTTGCATTCATGTGGTAACATTGGGAACACCGGTTCAAATGGATGAAGCAGTTCAGGTCATCCAAGACAGCATGTTGTCAGGACACTGGGTCATACTGAATAATTGTCACCTTGCAGAGACTTGGACAAAAGATATTATTAAACTAATACAGGTAAAAGACCAGCTTAGCTTATGACATTATTTTACTTTACTTTAAAAAACATTTTTTCAACACCTTATCAATCATTTGACATTTATTGTATGACCACACCATGGTAATTACTTTATAAGAGGTCTGCAGTCTACACAAGTCATGCCGTAGTTTTGATGATCCAGTATACAATGAATGTAATTTTTTGGTTTGTGTGTGCAATGTGCCTTGAACAGAGAACAAATACAGTGCTTATATTTGAGAGGAATGGTCTATGCAATATTGAGCTTTACATGTAATTGTTTAGGTAACTTGGGATATTGGCGATCCGCTCCGCTAGGATTGCCCTTATAATCACTTTTGTCGTTTTGTGTGTGTGTCTGTGTGTGTACATTTCCAGTGTTTTCACGTATGATTTCTTCTGTGATTTTTTTGGCTTGGCCGATTTCTTTCAAACTTTGCAGGTAGGTCACACCTTCACCCTAGTTATAAGGAAAAATCTGAAAAAAA